CCCAGGGAGCATCTGGGGTTCTCAGTGGAAGCATTTTAGGTGGAATGGTTCTTTACGGGGGGAGGATGGTCCATAGCTTTGCAGGGCATTTACCATCTTGGCTCCCAGGCCCTAATGGGGAGCATTATCACTGTTGATAAGCAAACCCCCCCCTCCCACTGCACTTCTAACCCCTCTCCCCCAGGGGGCGCCCTGGCTCCTGTTGAGAACCTCTGTGAACACGCCTCAGTGAAGAGCTAAGCGGGGACTGAGGCCCAGAGTTGTAGAGTTGTTGATTCAAGTTCGCAAAAGGCCTTTTACACCTAGACCTCAACCTCCATCTCCCTGACTCTGTAAGAACTTCAGGAAACAACCTGGCTGTTCTGTGTGGACGCTTCTCTAAACACTCCTAGAGGAGCAGCGAGTACGAGAAAGGACTAGTGGGTGGAGGGGTGGAGGGGTCCCTGTTTCTCTCTTGAGACTCTCTCAGCTGACACTAAGGTAGTCACTGCTACTTGCCCTCCTCCCACTCAGCTGACTCTCTGTCCACCCAGTGACACTGATCCTCCTTCCTAGAAGGATTATTCAGACATGTGCAAGAACGGAGAGGAACGCAGGGCTGCAGTAGCTCCAGCTTCAGGGAGGTGGTGGCTGAGGATATAAAGCCACTAAAATTATCCACGCACAGACAGGGGCTGGGGCCCCACAGCTGATGGGCCTCTTGCCTGTTATGGTAATTTTCCGCCCTCTGGGCCACTCCCCGGCTTCACTGTGGCACCCAACACATTTAGAAATGACTTGATGGCCGTAGGTGATGCTGAAATAATAACACAGTGAGAATCACCAAACCCTTGCTAATCCTGACCATGCTACAGTAGGATGCCCAGAGTTGGATGGAGTCATGGGGTCATAATCAAATTTGTCACTTTCTCATTTCCTAGTCCAAAGCAAGACTACCTGGAGAAAAGCCTGCTTGGTGAAGGCCACGGGTAGAAGCTGAGAAGCTGCTTTTCTCCAGATACACCTGTAGGAACCAGGCTGTCCTGGATTCTAGTCTGTTGCAATGGCGGAGGCTAGGAGCCAGAGGGGGATGGAGGGGCTTGGTGATCAGTTCTTCCCGTGGTCCCCACCTCTCACAGCCTTCATTTTACTCTCATCTCCTGCATCTCTCTTCCCTCTCTTCCGACATGGTGGCCCCTGTCACCCCTCACCCAGCCCTGCAACCCACAAGTCAGGGTTTAGGGGAGAGACTCTTCCCTCCTTGTAACTCCTCCATCCACTGTGAAACTTCAGCCAAGATATTTGCCCTCTAGATTCCTCTCCTGACCTCCAAACACTAGGAGAGAAGAAGCGGCAGGGGCTTCCACCACCAAGAATAACCGTGGTCTTACTGGATTTGCTCACATCAAATTGTCCATAGGAACCCACAAGCCACCTGGGTTCCCTTGATGGGCAAACAACCAAGGCCACCTGGCCCTAACTGGGGGAAAAAAATCCCCATATTCTGACCCTTGGGAGGAGTTTATGAAGGAAGACTCCTGGGAACCAGTGGTCTGCCCAGAAGAAGGGGCTGCGGAGAAGGGTCATGAGTCCAAGGGATTCAGAGGCTGCTTGCAGCCACTCTTCACCATTTTGGGAAAGTTTACATTTTCACTGAACCATGAGCCGCCACCTGTGTGCTCCTGGGGCCTGCTCGGCTACAGCTGGGACCAATTCAGGGCATGAAGGAGGCTGGTGGAATTGAATCTCAAGTCCCTGCACGTCTTTCTTCCTGACCCCTTCCCAGGCCCACTCCCACGCCTCAGGAGGGTGGGCCCTGACACTAGAGGGTGGCTTTGCACTCACATCCTAGGCAATCTAACAGCCATCCTCTGCAGGCACCGGTGTGCTTGTGTGCCTTGGCTGCACGACAAAGCAGCTGCAGATCAGAGCAGGGGCATGGCCTCGGGGATGACTGAGAACAAGATTTCTCTATCTGGCCCACAGGAGAAAGACCAGTTGGGTTCCTCCCAGAGTGACTTCAGTGGGGCCCAACCATGGGGCCAGGCCCCAGTCACACCCTCTAACCTCACCCCAGCAACCTCATTATCCAGAGGCCCAAGGCAGGACCAGGCAGGGCTGAGCCCCTGAACCACACTCAATGGCCTCATCCGCCCCTCTCAGCAGACGTAGGACCTTCATCTTGACGTTCTGGGTTTTTTTTTTAAGTCAAGCCCCAAATCAGTTCTCCCACATTGATTGATCAAACGGTGGCTCTCCAGGTGTGGTCCCTGGACCGGAGCATCAGTATCACCAGGGAATTTGTGAGAAGGGCACCTTCTCAGGCCCCACCCAGATCTGCTGAATCAGGAAGGCTGGGGGCAGGGCCCGGAAACCTGTTTGAACAAGCCCTCCGGGTGGTTCTAGGTTTGCTCAAGCTTGAGAACAGGGTTACAGGATCCTTCTGTCTCTCCCCAGATGGGCCCTGTGGGCAGCCCTTTTTTCACCCTGTACTGATAACCCAGCTCCTCACTCCCGCCAGATGAGTCGGCCTCCTTCCCCAGCAGGATCAAAGCCGTCCGACGTACAGTTGTCAACTTCTGCTTCATACCCCCGCCCCCCACCCCGTTTAAACCCTCCCTCTCCCCCACTGTTTTCTGCGGGCACAGGCGTACGCCTCCACACTCCTGACCCTTTCTCTCGCCCTCTGTTTCTTCCACATCTACTACGCTGGGTCTTCTTCCTCTGGCCCACTCAGGACCTTGACATCACTTCTTTTTTCTCTCTTCTCTCCCTTTTTCCTTGCAAATGTATCCAGCTGTTGTTTCAACTGTCACTTCTGAGGAGACGGCTCTAAAAGCATGATCTCTCTTTCCCAACATCCTCCAACTCCAGACCTGCATTTTCAGCAACTTCTACAAGAAACACCCCGCTCCCTGGATGCCTAAGAAGTACCTCAAAGTCCACAGTCCAAACTCAAATTCACCTTCTTACCCCACTCAAACCACCACCAATACCACCACCATCACCAGCAGCTTGTCATCCTGACTTTTGTCTCTACAACCAGTTTCTAAGATCTTATTGGCTTTACCATCCCTGGGCAATCACAGTAACTTTTTCTGGTTAAAAACTTAGTATATTTTGGACCGCAAAGTTCCTGTGGATCCAAGTAAAATGACTCGTACAGGAATCGCCTTAAAAACCAACGGCTGCCATTCTGTGCATAAATCCGTCAGGTAGAATGCCTAGGGTTTCATGTACCCTGGACGCCAGAGTCTCAAGGGGAGAGAAAGACTTTATGGACTGCTCAACGTTTGCTGAAGAGTGGGAGCCCCTCAGGAAAGGACTCAGGCCTCCACGGGCAGAAAGGATAATCTATCAGATTAAAGGGCCCCCTCCCCTGCTTCAGGAGCCACCAGATTCCCATTTCTGGGTCACTCACTCTATGCCAAATGACCCTCTGGGAAGGGCTTACATGTCCACAGTCCTGAGAAACAACTGCTACTTTGTTCGGGGACAGCAATGAATGGATGTTAGAATCAGAGAGGAGACACAGGGTTAGGGTCGGGGTCAAGGGTACTCGTCAGTATCAAGGTCAGAGGCCACGTATGAAAGGCTTGAAGCCATCTTGCTCCCTGAAAGGACACACCTACGTTGAAACCACCCTGACTGACCTTCAGCTACAGGAGGAGCACCTGACCCTCCTGCTTTGTCATTCCTCCCCTTTCAAACCCTGGGTTGCAGTCATTTTGCCCAAGGCCTTCCTGGCTATCGATGCTGAAGCCTGGGATTGGCAGTGGGAGGTGGAGGGGAGATGAACAGGAAACCTTCCTCAGAACTGACAATACGTGGTCCTGTTCTATTCTTCCAAAAACAGAACCGATGCTCCCCTCCCCCGCCACCTTCTCAGAGTCAAGAGACCTGGGTTCTAGCCCCAGTGCCATCACTGGCCAGCTACATGACACAGCAAAAGATGACAAACCTTTTTTGTGCTCTGGTTTCTTCACCTAAAAAGGAAAACCGTGAAACTCTCCCTTCTCCCTCTACAGAACTGATGTGACAATAACATGCTTGCATACAGCAGTTCACCATTAACAAATCGCTCTCATTACGTCTTCTAACTTGATCCTTACGGTACCTTGTGATATAGGCAAGAAAAGCATTTTTATCCTCTTTGACGGATGAGGAAACTCAGGCTCCCGAAGGATTTGCCCAGGCTGCAAGGTTAATAGGCAGCAGAGCCGGGGCCCAAGCTTGACCTCTGTGCCCTGTACCACTCGGTCCCCTGCACGGTGAGAACCCATGTGACAGACACAGCATGCTGCTGGTATTAATCAAAGTAGTAGTTTTTCCCAGTGTAATTATGACCCACATATTTGCCAGTGGATTATCACTGGTTACTGCGGGTAGCCTCAGCATCTTCAATCCATCACTTCTTAAGTGGGTCATTTTGAACTAAGATGCAGGTGTGAAATCACTAGCTTCAGGGCTAAAACTGGGGAGGACACAGTCAACCAGGGAAGAGGATGAGCTTAGTGGCATTTCTGATGCCACCATCCATGGAGGGCGATCGCGCTTTCTGCTGGGCACAGAAGGCTAAGGTTTTAGGCAAGTTCATCACTTCTAACAATCTCATTTTTGGGGTGAGAGAACTTGAGCCCGGAAAGGCTGCATGACATGCCTAAGGCCCCATAGCTCCTTAAGCAGCTGAGCTGGCTCCAGACATGGGTTTCCTAACTCTAAGGCCAATGCTCCTTCCATGCTGCCGGGATTTTGCACTGTTTTCCGTCTCACACCATCTGGGGCTTATCCCCTCCAACTGTGTCTCCATCTGACAGTCAGCAGGGTAAATGCACTGTGGGTGATGTGCATGGTGGATCCTTTTCCATAAGAGATGTCCACCGAACGAGGGGCAGATCTCTTGGAGATCACCATTTGGTTCAAATGCTGAGCCCAGGACACAGCTTCATCCCCAAGGGCCAGGACAACCTCCCAAACGTGTGTGCTGGGCCTTAATTGGGGGAAGAGGAAATATTACTCACGACTTGTCTCGCCTGCCGAGCCGTCTTGGGGGGCTCGCCTGCCTCCGTCGGGGGGACAGTGATTTTCCCCGGCTTCTCGCTTGGGTTGGAGAGTGGGCACTTGCAGGTTTCAGGAGCTGGAGGAGATACGAGGAGTTAGCACGCTGCTTCCTAACAGCCCCGCCCTCGCGCCTTCCTGCAGCCCAGCATCTCAACCCCTGACCATTCATGATCCCGGGGTTTAGAAGGCCCTGAGCTGGAGGCCTCCTCCTGACACACAGATGTGCTTCTCTCATGCTGCACTGACAAGAAGCAGAGGTGCCACTTCCCAGAGGATGACAGGATTACACTGTGCCCCTTTCCCCACGGCAGAGAGGAGCAGAGCCCAATGTCTCAGCCTCCTGGGGCTGTTTGGTTGCTCAGAAAACTCCCCTCTCGTGAAGGCAAAGTCCCATCCATGTTGCCCCAGAAGCCAGCGTGTTCCTTTTCTGACCCTCCCACCCCGCACGCATGCGCAGAGTGGGTCCAGCTGATCCAGAATCTCCATTACAGGTGCTGCCAAGTGAAGTCCCCAGGTGCTAAACACAACCAAGCCTGAATTCGGCATAATCCCTTGCCCCTGCGGGTCTCAGCATACACACAGGCTTTCTCTCAGTGACTCCACGGGCTCTGGAGGAGCAGGGACAAACAGGCATGCTGTCACCTTGGAAGTGACACGGTAGAAGGAAGAAGCGCTTATGAGTGTAGTTTCTATAAAGCCAGCAGAGCGCATGCTCCTTTGTTTGCTTCTGTGACTCCAGGTCAGAATTTTATGCCAAAGGGCTTTGCAACTTACAAAGCAAAGCAGAGATAAAACAAAACACGACTCTGAAATAGATTATACAGCAAAGTGACCCACTCATCCTGGCTTGCCTGAGACTTTCTTGGCTTTAAGTACTGAAAATCTCATTTCCTCAGAAACCCCTCAGTTGCAGGGAAACTGAGATGACTGACCACTCTTACTATAAAGACAAAACAGAATAAAACAAAACTAGAGCCTTAGTATAAAATGACTAACATTTTAGATTGACTCATAGAAGGAACTGTAGGCCAAGACTCTGCTTCAGCTACACCACCTAAATTGAGCTTAGCTCTAGTTTTTAAAGTAGTAAATGCAAAGAGACTTAAATTGTCCATGTCAAAAATTGAATGATATGTTTTTAACAGGGTGCCTACTAAGCAAGATAACCTAAGAAACTTTTGACCATCTCAGAAACACAGGGCACGTGGCAATAGAGAGAGAGGGAGGGAGGGAGGGAGAGAGAGAGAGAGAACGAGGAAAGAACTCTCTTGCATTGCTCATTGCATTGCCTCCCCTGCACCTACCTTCATTCTCATGTCCCTGGCATATTTCTCCAGCTCCTTCCTTATGTCAGCCCTCAACATCTTTGAGACATTGAGGACCAGCTGCTTCCACTCGATGGGCTGGAAGCTATGAGGCTCATGGGGGACATACAACCCAATCTTGACCTTCTTGACTGTGTGCAGGTATTTCTTGTAGGAGTCTTCAAAGTCAAAGACGAGGTCACTCAGAGTCCGAAAGGTCAATGGCTTGTCCATCAGCTCAGCCCTCCGGCTCATGCCCAGTGAGCCATAGCGGCCATTGCAGTAAATCCCCAGCACAACATGGTGAAAGTAGTTTCCTGAGAAGTAGGTTTTAAAGCTGATGGGGAATCGCTCGATGGAAGGCTGTCCATTGGTTAAGTATCTTAGAGAATCTGAGTCAAGGAAGAGAAAGGAGGCTGGAGACACCAGAACTTGGACTCCCAGGAAAGGAAGGTAGCCCATACGGTCAGTGGGTCCACCCCACTGCCTCTGAGCAGGCCCAGACCTGACCTTTCCAGACTGATCCTCTTATAAAGGATTCACTGGATATCTTTGAGTACCCGCTACATGGTGCATACCAAACCAAATTAATATGGGACAAAGAGGGAAGATTTGCCATCTTCTTTAGTAAATAAATAAATGCAAACAAAACCATTAACAATATACGTTATCCTCCCTTGGTGCTCTACAGGGGATGATAAGCTATTAAAAGTTGGTTTCTGCCATTGGAATGATGTTCTCAGTAGTTAATTCTGGCTGGAGTATGTGGGACAGACCAGGAATAGAAGGCCTCTGCAATGGTGCTGGGAGAAATGACAACCAGACCCAAGGCAAGGCAGTGGAGATGTAAGACACAGACCAACTGACAGGATGGGAAGAGACAGAATGGTGTCAGAATGGGTCATATCTGCGCCTTGTCTGCTCCTCTCATTGGCCCCAGCATACCCATGCCAGTAGCCTTGGGTACCACAGAGAGCTGCCTGCAGCATCCGAACCTCAGGCTCCCTTCAGTCCCCAACCCAGCTGGTGTCACAGCTCAGCTCTCTCCATGTGTTGGCCCGTCTGGATTGAGCCACCCAACCTCTTACCATTAACTCGGTTTGAGCCCAGCAACCCTACCTGGTGCATCTTCAAGTAACTACCCCCACTGACTCCACATGCTGCAACGAAGGACAGGAGGCACCACATCCTCAAGTCCACCTCAAAGTTTCTGGACAGCCCTGGCGTGGCCATGGAGACTCAAAGACCCAACTCTTGTGGAGAGGGATACTGGAAATTTAAATACATTCTGCTGAAGACCGTTGGTGTCTCCAGACCTTTTCTAAGGGAAATAACAATCCAGGCTCTTAACATGGTGGCTCGTGCACGGTGAGTGCTCAGTAAGTGGGTACCATTCTCCACTCTCTGAGAACTTGTCTTCACCATTTCTTGCCCCTGCTCCAATTTACCTTCCACACAGTGGCCAGAACGATCTATTGAAGCCAAAATTTGGTACATGTCACTCTTCTGCCTAAGTTTTCAGTGTATCTCATCTTCTCCAGGACTTGGTCCAAATCCCTCAGCAAAGTCCTGCCATGATTCAGCCCCTGTTCATCATCCCTTTGTATCGTCTCATCCCCCCCACACTCTGGGCTCACACACTGAACTACAGTTGACCCATGACTTTTTTTTTTTTTTTTTGCCTGTAGTGCAGCTTGCAGGATCTTAGTTCCCCACCCAGGAATTGAACCCGCACCCTCAGCAGTGAAAGCACAGAGTCCTAACCACTAGACCTCCAGGGAACTCCCGACCTGTGACGTTTTTGAAGGATACACCCTGAGACCATGAAGAACCCAAAGATCTGCGCCAACTACCCTCAGCACATACTCCCCCAGAATATGAAGTCAAATATAACTGAATATTTTAAATGACCTTTGCATTACAAGGCCATGAGACCAAAGTGACCTATGAAAATTTCAAAAACAAGCTACTAAACCCACTGTACACGACCTCATGTCTCCATCGTAGTATAACTTCTTTTATGGCTTCACTCACACATCAGTCTTATATTGTGGGGGATTTAAACCTGGCAGAGATCTTTGGGGTCTCCTAAGAATCATGAGTGATAAGGATGCTATTGGGGGTTTCCCTGGTGGTGCAGTGGTTAAGAATCCGCCTGCCAATGCAGGGGACACGGGTTCAAGCCCTGGTCCGGGAAGATCCCACATGCCGCAGAGCAACTAAACCCATGCATCACAACTACTGAGCCTGTGTGTCACAACTACTGAAGCCTGCGCACCTAAAGCCCGTGCTCCGCAACAAGAGAAGCCACCACAATGAGAAGCCTGCACACTGCAACGAAGAGTAGCCCCTGCTCACCACAACTAGAGAAAGCCCGCGCACAGCAACGAAGACCCAACGCAGCCTAAAATAATTAAATAAATTTATTTTTTAAAAAAGGATGTTATTGGGCTTTCTCTCTTTACACAGGCTGCACCCTGACTGGAACAGCCTCACTTCCTGGGTGTGATACCTTCCCTGACCTTCCTCAGTGTGGGTTAAGTCTCCCACACCCCCTGCAAGAACTCCCACAGCACTTGCTGCTTATTCATCCCGCTTCGTGTGTGTGTGTGTGTGTATGCGCGCGCATGTGTGTGCATTTGTATCTGGTAACGGCAGGAATTGTGCTTTGCATCCTGGTATTCCCAGGCATCGCACAGGCCTGGCACACAGAAATAACTGGTTGGTGCTTGCTGAAAGGATGAATCTTAGATTGTGAGGATACATTTCCTTACGTTTAAAAAGACTGTAGGGCTTCCCTGGTGGCGCAGTGGTTGAGAGTCCGCCTGCCGATGCAGGGGACACGGGTTCGTGCCCCGGTCCAGGAAGATCCCACATGCCGCATGGCCGCTGAGCCTGTGCGTCCGGAGCCTGTGCTCCACAACGGGAGAGGCCACAACAGTGAGAGGCCGGCTTACGGCCAAAAAAAGTTAAAGTGGTAAATTTGTGTTATGAATATTTTATAATTCTTGGAAACCCCGCATTCGCAATATATGTGTCAAGTCATTATGCTGTACACCTTAAACTTACACGGTGCCCTAAATCAATTTTATCTCAAACTGAAAAAAACCCACCCCAACGTGACGTGTGTTGTGAGAGGCAACCCTGCCACCTCAGGAAGAGCAGAGAAGAGCCCTCGGGACCAGAATGAGTCCCACAGGACAGGTAGAGTCAGCCAAGGCGAGAAAGTGAATGGGGAGGGGACTGCAGGGACCACCAGTCCATCCCGTGACAAGTCACCAGCCACTTGGATTTGCTCCATCACTACAGCAATCAGTAAAGCCTTGGGACCTGGAGCCTCTGTGAACGGAGAGCGAGGGGACTAAGAGGTATGGATGAGGGCTGGGAAGTAGCCTGAGCTTTTCTAGGGAAAAGGGAGCAGCAGTGCCCCAAGTTTGGGGAAGATCTGCCCAGTACCCAGCCTGCTGGGGCTATGCCTCCCCGGCCTCTAATTATACACCTGTTGTTGAATAAACCATAGCACTTCAGCACCATGATTAAGCCCCACAAGGGCCAGTGAGGCCCCCTAAAGAGCTGCCATGATTCAGAAAATAATTTGGAACCAGAAGTCTATCTCTCCAGCATGATCAAAAAAGCAAGATCAAAAGAAGTGGCCCTTCGCGAATGAATCCTGAACTCGGAGCTAATGTCAAACAAGAGAAAACAAGGACAAGCCCATGGACACAGCTTCCAAGCAGCAGCCAAGCCGACCTGTTTCAGAGTTGTCAACACATTGCTTGTCCCCTAGGACCTGTGGAAAGGCCCATGGGAGGCCGACCGATGACACAAGTCCGTCCTTCACTGTGCCTGGGAGCAAAGCAGGCCACAGGGCTGCTGACACAGAGCAAAGACAAAGAGGCCGTAACTTTTAGAATCCAGCTGTGTTTCTTGTCTGTGCAAGAGTCACATTTCCCTGAGTTCAGCTGTATTTCTCCACCCTCCCTCCACTTTTCTGAAATGACACACCGGTTAGAACAAAGGAGAACCCAAAGCACGCTACCCTCTGATTCGGACAGGCCCAGAGGCTGGCCACAGGTCCATCCCCCCAACCCCAAAGGTTTTATTGGTAACTCCGGTAACCTAAGCTAATTTCGGCTTGGATTGATATAATTGCTCGGGGACAAGACAACTGTGTACAGGACTGCCATGTGAAGCAAGATGACCTCCATCCAGGGGCCCTGCGACCTCTGTCAGCACAGGGTCTGAAGGCAGCTGGTGCCCGTGGTGATGGGCTCCCTAACCCATCACCAGCAAATCCCCGACAACTGTTCACCCCATTAAGCTTGAAGGAGGCTCTGCCCAACAGCTGTGCTGACTCCTGCCTCCAAAGGGTGGGGCCCAGAGCCATCTGCTGCCCCACCCCGCCCCCATCCTGCCCTCCTGCTGGGCTCCCAGATGCGGTCCATCTCCTTGGTGGGGAACAGGGAGGAGGTATGACTGGAGGGCTGGGCAAAGGCCTCCACAAAGCTCAAGTTTCCATTTTTCAGACGTCAGCCTGGGCACCTGCGGACAGTCCTGTTTCAGATCCGGCCAGCCAGCGCTCTGCAGACTAGAGGGGCGGAAATTCCCCTCCCCACGAAGATGTCCGGGGGGCCGGGAGAACAGACCAGACCCAGCCTACTGTCCCCAGTCCGATTCTAAGTCACCAGTCCTCCCACTGACTTCTGTGTCTGCTCTCTCTCCTGGTTTTCCTTCTACCTCTCTGGCCTCCAAGTCCTGTAAATCCTATCTCCTCGGGATCTCTTGAAACGGTCCCCTCAAATCCATTCCCATTGCCAAAACCATGGTTCAAGCATCACCACTGCCCTCATGCAGCAGCTCCTAACTGGCCTTGCAGATGCAGCGCCCCCTTCTCCAGCTGCCCTTCAATTGGCCCCCACCTCTTTAAAGTGCACACCTCATCATGTCCTGTCTGCTCCAGAGATTTCAGCTGGGCTGCCCGTTGCCTTTGGAAAAAGTTACCCTTCTCAGAATGGCATTCAAGGACCTACCTGTCCTAACCTGGGATCACCTCATGTTTTACTGTGTTCCCTTGGCCGGTTCACCCCAGCCGTCCGCCCCAGGACTGGGAGTTTCTTTGCTTTTCTACCAGATCATATTCTACTGCCACCACCGCGAATAAGTCAGTGCCATCACAGTTATTCTGGACCATATTCCCCCTCAGGCTGAGGATCCAGGAGTCTGGTGCAAAACAGAGAAGAAAGTGTGGAGAGACCAGACCCTTGTTTCAGCTTTACGTCCTGTAGGGTCAGGATACTACGCCATTGGTCTCCTCCACAGTCCACTCATAGAACTTTCCCTGGAGAGGGCTTTGGATAATCCCATTTTCCCTGGAGGGTCTTTCCTGTTGCAATGCCAGATTAATGCAAAAAATAAAGATACACACTCTCTCACTAGTTCCTTGAAGCTGTAATTCTCCTCGCGACTAATGCGTCTGGCCTGGGAGCTGGCCGTGATGCAGGCTTCAGCTCACAAGTTACACTGATGATGGTCCAAGCTCTGATTTGGTTCAACTCCAGATGGTGAAAGTTCAAGAGAAGCACCAGGAGGGCTTGACACTTTCCTCCAAGGAGACAACAGGCATCATCTCTGTGGATCTAGGATGTTCGAGGCACAAGCAGCCCCACAGTGAAGCCATCATCTATGGAGTAAGTTTAAGCTTACATCACTTAAAGGATACATGCCCAGGATGACAGCTTCAAGGCATTTGATAGGCAAGGACTCCCGAGTCATTTCTTTCGCTGTTTCCATTAACCTGTAGGGTAGAGCACAGCAAAGGATCTCAGACTTATTTAATTATGCAGTCGGTCTGTGTGCCAATCCACCAGGCATGCCCATCGCCACACTAGGCAGCATGCAGGAGTACAGAAAGGGCAGAACTTGCCTCGGAGGAGGCTCGCAAAGCACATCCGCACCTGGTGGAACTAAATTTCTAAATTCTCCACTCCTCTCTGCAAGACGTAGTTCCGGGAGATTAGTGCTTTTACTCCACAGCACCCTCCCACTAACCCAGGACACGGGTGTCACCACGGAGCAAGTGAAAAAGGCCACATAAAACAAATTTCACAGGTCTGCCCCACCCCTGAGTTAGTCTCCACCACTGAGCTTAGCTCAGCCCCACCTCCAACCCGGCCCGGGGCACCCCTACCCGCTACAGACCAGAATATTTGAGCACTGGGATGGAGGAGAGAGTGGGAGAGAAAGATGACAGCTCTCAGATAGGAGCATGGTCACCTGGCCCACAGATCATGCACCACTTACCCACTCAGCGGTCTCATTTTCCTAATTTCAAAGAACTGGGTCCCTGTATGATTGTATCTGTGTGAAGTATGTAAAGGGAAAGTGACAGAAATCTCCAAAGGTCCCAGTAATCCAGCAGAGGGATTTCTCAAAGGGATGAGGAAATGGGGGCTTTCCAGAAGGTGGCCTGTAGCCAGATCATCACCAACAGTATCTTCCTCCTCTCTGTCCTGCCCTAGAAATCTACTTTCTAACTTAGGCCCCAAAGCACCTTGGATCTATACAATAGCTATTTTCAATCTGCTCTGTATTTTGTTTAGTTGACTACATGTCTTAATTCACCTACTAGAATACAAGCCCTTTGAGAGCTGGGACCATTTATCATCTTTGTGTCACCCATAAAGCCTGGCACAAGCCCAACATATTCCATTTAGCAAATATTATTAAATAAATGAAGAATAAGTGAATGGATGGGTGGATAGAAGGAAGGAAGGAAGGAAGGATGGAATTGACAGAAGAGTGGATGCATGGATTAATGGAAAGCTGGTTGGGTGGCTGGACAGACAGAAAGGTAGGCTGATGGATGGGTGAAAGGAAGGATGGAAGGGTTACGGATGGAAGGTGGATAGATGGTAGTAGGGTTTCTCAAGAGTGCAGACTCTGCAGCAGAGCTTACTGTGGAGATAGCATTTTCATTTCATGCCTGGACTGATATTTGACATTGATTACTAGATCTGAGAAGATGACAGCACTAACCACAAACTGGGATTTAGCTGGTTGCCCACAAGGTCTCAAGGACTGGCAAGCCCGCACCAGCTCATTCTGAAGGAGACTGGAGACTCTCAGATACCGGGCTCTCTGAGACTGGATCTTGATATTTTTCTGAGCCTGAAGAAAAGTTGTTTTATATGTTTCTTTTTCCTGCCTCAAACAAAATCCTATAGAAAAAGTGTACATTGGGAAGGTGCTAATGAAGCGTGAACTTGTAGCCCAGGCAGGAAGTATGAGGTTAGATGTGTGCCCCTACAGTGGTATGGGCAGCTGCAGAAAAGTGGCAATGATCACCTCAATGCACTGCACACCCTCCCGACAAGGGTTGGGATTCCTCTCCGGGCAAAAACGTGCTTGGCCGCTAAGACACAAACATATGTAACAATCACCTGGAGAGTTTGTTATAAGCAGATTCTGGGCTCCATCCTTAGAGATTCTGATTTCAGGCCAAGGTCTTAGACCCTGATGTCAGAGTCGCCCCACCTGGGGCTGTCGAATTGGAAGTTCTAGGGTGAGGGCCAGGGGATGATTTTAACAAGCTCACCGTTTGGAAATTACCAGCATGAGCCATAAGAATAACCAATAACAATACAGCCTTGCCCAGATTTTAAAAAAATACAATATACAAAACCCTAGAGATAAGAGAGAAAAATGAAGGGCTATGTAGCCTCACTGTGAAATGATTTTTCACTTTACCAAAGATTTCATTCAAATAGTGAGATTCCTTGTATATTTAAAGTAACATGCAATTGGCAAAAGTTCTATTTATATGCCCAATTTTCCCCCTGTTCATACATCTAGTTTATACATCTAGTGCATGGAGTGAGACAAACCTCTAATAAAATAATAAAAAACTACCTGACCATTCTTTCTCCGTTCCTTACGGTTATGGGTCCCTGAAAGTGAGCTGGGGAGGACAACCTCCTGTAAACGCTGCCTGAAGAGAGAGACTTCACCCTCTGCTCCCTACACAGCAGAGCTCGGGGGTGGGGACTTCTCTTTCCAGAACCCGGTGCAAGGTCAGCACTCCAGTTGGCCAACGCTGTGAGGCTGTCAGAAGGGAAGGCAGGATTTGTCCTTTCCTGTCCCCAGCTGAGGACATCTGTGGTCAGGGCTGGCCCCAATCGGTCCCCATACCCATGTCCTGCATCCAGGACAAAGCAGTAGGAAGGCCCAAGGAACTAAATAAAAGGCTGGTCAGGAGGTAGAACAAAGAGGTTACTCCAATGGCCAGGTGACCTGGAGCCTGATCCCAGTAGCATGGTGGTGCTTTCCCTTCTCCAGCCCTTTCTGCAGTCACTGAACCAGCTCAGTGAACATCACAGTGGGTCAGTGAAGGGAAAAATGAAAACGCAGATCCTTCAGGACTGAGAATGGGCTGCAGCCTTTCCAAGAGAATGAGCCAATGATATGTAAAGCACATGCAAATTTGCCCCGGCAGTGTATTCCCAGTGGCCAGGCTCGTCCTCTTTAATCCCAGCCAGATGATTCTTGTGAAGACCATGTCTTAAATAGAAGGGGGGAGCCATGCTAATTTATGTCACCTTCTGGAACGTTCTGTGAGGAGTCGATCACATCCAGGAAGGCTCAGCTTTTGGGGTCCAGGTTGACTCTGGCAGGAGTTTATGCTCCTGGGCCACATGGAACTCCTCACGTGCGGTCCCAGTTCAGCGATCAGCACCGACATCAGCCTTCCGTGGGCTAGAACTTTCCGCCTGACCCCTGGAGGCTGGTGTTATCTTCTCTAATATCGCTTCAGGATTCTACGAGGAAGATGCCATGCAGGGGAGTTCACAGTCCGTGAAGTGGGAACTGAGAGGCTAATCAAGAAATCTGCCCACCCAAACGAGCTGCAGTTCTCAACTGGGAGGACCCTTCCCTTCAGGGAAAACACAGAAGTCCACAAGAAAGCTCCTTGCCTATAGCACAGAGAGAGGAGACCTCTTCCCAGGCACGTGGGACATGTGTGCAGTGCCCCGTGAAATCCTTTCTGCTAAGCTCTATGCCTTTAGGGAGGAAGGGCAGAGGTCAGCAGACCTCCTGAACAATGTGCTGGGGGCTAGGATGGCGGCAGCTGCCTCGGCAGGGAGTCCGATGCTGGCTTAGCTGAGATGCTCACGGACTCGCTTGGGCAAATGGCCTGTCCCACTCACATACACCTCCTCTGTTGGCCCGGCTCCCGTCTGACTCCCATCCCTGATAAAGCACCAGCCGTGGCGAGGGGAACATCTGACCCTGCCGCTTGGTTCTTACAACGTAGCTCATGTGGGCGCTCAGAACAGATGTACTCCTGACTGCAAACACTGGGGGAGAAAAGAGGCCACAGACTGGCTGGTCTGCACCCAGCCTGGACCCACAGGACTTCTCAGCTCTTCTTCAAACTCACATGAGGGGAGAGGGCCCCCAGGCCAGGGCCCCATTCATTCATGCAGAATGGACCAAGGGCACCAGCCGCCAAAGGCAATGCCGGGTGGGCCTCTTGTAGATGATGAGTGGTCAGGATCAGGGCAAAAAGTGAAAGGAAAGAAAAGGAACAGAAGACTAGGAGGGGGGCTTCCCTGGTGGTCCAGTGGTTGAGAATCCGCCTTCCAGCGCAGGGGACTCGGGTTCGAGCCCTGGTCTGGGAACTGAGATCCCACATGCCACGGAGCAACTAAGCCTGCACGCCACAACTACTGAGCCCATGCGCCCTGGAGCCCGTGCACCACAACTAGAGAGGGAAAACCTGCACACCACAACAAAGAGCACACGCTGCAACAAAAGATCCCGCATGCCTCAACAAAGACCCCGTGTGCCGCAACTAAGACCCGATACAGCCATAAATAAATAAATAAACAGATATACTAAAAAAAAAGACTAGGAAGGAAGAGGGAGAAAGAAAGCTGGTACAGGAAGAGAGATGGAGGGAGCCAAGGATAACCAAGGAGGAGGAGGTAGAGAAAGAGTAGGTGGAAGGAAGAGGGGCGTGTGCTGCCCACCGCCACTCCGCTGCCCTTTGCCGTCCCGGCCCACACCCTGCTTAAACGGAGAGGGTCTGATCATTGCAGTGACGTCCTCCAGTGTCACTTCTTCTAGACTCTCACATCGAGGCATCCCTCCGTGCCCGGCCTCGCCAACCTCAGACAGATTCGCTGACCAGATGGGGACAGAGCCGCCAACAGGCTTGCGATCATCATGCCTGTCCCCGGGCTGGGTCTGCTCAGACCCTGGTCGGAAGGATACTGTAGTGTCTTCATGTAGTTCTGGATTGCCTGGAGCCAGTCTGGGATCGTCATGGACAGCCTGTAGTTGGGAACCTGGGGTACTGAAGGCTGCAGGGAAGTAGAGAGATATCATTTTATCAAGGAGATGCAGAGCTACTCCTGAAGGCAGATGGCCACGCTGGCCTGGGCACCCGTTCAACTGGTGCCTCCTGGACAAGGTCTCCCCAGACCGGCCGGTCCTCTCTCTGCGTTCCCTCGGCACATACTCCGCCCTGGGTCGCAGCGGCTCTCTATGACCCTTTGTGTGTTGTGGTATGAACACCGCCTGCCTCCCCATGGGAGCCTCAGCCCTTCTTGAGGCCAAGGACCATGTATTTAGTGTCCCCCCCTCCCCAGGCCTGGTCCAGGAGGGTTCAGAGGTGCTCCGTTAATCCTCGCACTTCTACTGCACGACTACACTTTTGCTGCATGGCTGGTGTCACCATTGTATGTGTCTGCTCCAGGGCACCATTGAATACAAGATGAATGGCGCCCCGAAGGGATGCAACATGGTGCTACACATGCCATTTCTCTTCAACAGCACCCCCTGCAATGCCCATCACATCCATTGCCTAAGTCCAGCCCCAAGTGCACTAGGAAAGATTCCCTTCTTGCCTTGAATCTTCCCAGCTAAGTGCAGCTCCTCCCGGCTGCCCAGTCTGCCTGGGCATCTCCTAGTCTGCCTCTTGGTCAACATTCACCAGCTGAGAGTATGAAGTTCTACCCCCGCTGGGAAGGGAAGGGAGCGACGGCAGCCCAGGACTGAAAAGGGGGAGGTAAGTCCCTCTTCTCGGGAATTTAGAGCTGAGACACCACCCAGCTCTGAGCAACCCTGCCGACCAGGCCAAGAGCAAGAGCAAGCAGGGGCTTCCAATCCAGTCACTCTTGGGAAGCAAGGGAGCAGTTTCTGGTTTATTTCTTCTCTGTGTTACCCAGTCCCTTAACCTCAGCCTCTCTGATGGGCGGGGGGGAGGGGCACTGGTGACAGAGACACTCAGCCCAAGTGGGTCTGTAGCTCCAGCAGGAAGGAGGACTAAGCCGCTTAGGGAGGGGCAGAAGGGGCCGCAGGACAGATTAGTTCCACCCTCTAAGAAAACAGGGAAAGGGAGGCCCAGGGGATTTAGTACTTAGCTGATGGAAGGTGAAGCCACTGGTGAACAGACTGAGGGACAGCACTGGGCAGCCTGGCTGGGCACCAGCGCCAGACGCTGCCCAAGGACGGTCCCCACTTCTGTCCCCAGCTCTGCAAGCTCAGGCCCCACAGACAAGCTGGAGGGCGAGGGGGTCCCCCGGGCCTGAAGCAGGAGGCTTTTCATACTCCTACACCTTCTGCTGCTTTTACTTAAAATAGAAGGGAACTAGTCACACATCCTATTTCACAGCCAAGGTGCAGAGTGTGTGTGTGTGTGTGTGTGTGTGTGTGTGTGTGTGTGTTCATGACTGCATGTGTGAAAGACAGAGAATGTGAGACTGTGTGCACACACTCACACAGCTGTTCTGCAAACATTTTGTTTACAACATATCAACTCAAATCACATTCCTGTCTTGGAGAGTCATTTTTGGGAGCAAAATGTTCCCATCTGAACATCTGCTTATGCAGCCATTCCCACAACACCCCCGCCCAGCCCAGCGTCAAAATACAAAGCGTGTCCTGGTGTTTCTGACCTAGCAAACATGAGGACGCTTGTCCCTGCTTTTGGCAGTAACATCCACTGATCTACCCACACCTGGAATTCTGCATAAGAATGTGCCAGAGCTTTCACAGAGAAGTAAGGAAGCAGGGGAGACTGAGAACAACCATTTCTTTCGCACCTCCAGTGTTCCAAGCTCTAGGCAAGGTGCAAGAGGGAGGTGGCAAACGACACAGTTTATGAAAGCAGGAGCATACCTCTACCCTGGCATGCATGGGACAACGCCCCGGAGAATCACCAGCCACCTGAGGGATCCCCAGAGGGATGTCCCTTGGCCAAAGCCCTGAGGAAGCCGGAGTGACCTGGCTCTGAGTCAGCTTTGGGGGCCGACCACCAAGTTATTTCAACTCCCCCAAGCCCAGCGGAACCCACAAGAGCCAGATGATGGGGGGAGTCAGGCGGCAGCCGGTCCTCAGAATAGCAGCCCAGCGGCGCCCAAGGGCTTTTAAAAACAGCTGCCTAGTTACCTCAGCCCCGGGCTAAGAGTGAGTGCAGGAGCTGCAGTCACATTCCCCAAATCCCAGCTGGGGAGCCGGGCTGTGGTGGGAGAAAAGCCGAGACTGCTGAGGGGATGATGTCATCTGGCTACAGCCCACCCTGCCGTCTGGGACAGCTGGTGGGGGCTCAGGCTGGGGCAGCTCCCAACCAGCACCTCGGGCTGCCAAGGCCCCACAGGATGATGGACTATAAACCAGGCAGGCTCCTTGGGGTATAATTATGAGTCCTTGCTTTGTCACCTACTGCTGTGGACCCTGGGCAAGCTGCACGGCCTTTCTAAGCCTCCAGTTCCTTCCTGATAAAATAGGAGAGGATATCACCTACTTCAAACCTTCTGAGCTGGTTGTGAGGATTATATGACCTAATGTATAAAGCAGACAACTTGGGGCTTGGCACTCGGTGTTTTTTAAGTGTTAGCTGTGTTATCATTATTCATCAACAGTGTGTTTTCAGAGGTCTAGATGGGGGAGACTGAATGGTCTCCACTTTTCAGTAACTGGAAAACAGAAGCAGCAGGGCCTGAGCCCCCAGACACTCAACTCAGGAGCATCACCAAGATGCCTTCTCAGCCTGATGGAAGAGGATGAAAACATCCACTTCCCCTGTGGACACGTGCTGACCATGAGTTAATATCCTTAATTCATGAAGAGTTCATACAAAGTGATAAGAAAGCTCTCTAGGCCTCAATGAAAAGAAAATGGCCCCAGAAAGTGGAAGCAACCCAAGTGTCCATCAACAGATAAATGGATAAACAAAATGTAGCATATATGCAATGGGATATTATTCAGCCTTAAAAAAGAGGGACATTCTGACACATGCTATACGTGCCAGAACTTTGAAGACCTTATGCTAAGTCAAATAATCCAGTCACAAAAGGACAAATATTGGAAGATTTCTCTTACGTGAGATTCCTACAGTAGTCAAGTTCATAGAGACAGAAAGTAGAAGGGTGGTTGCCAGGGGATGAGAGGAGGGAGAAATGGGAACTCAGTGTTTAATGGGTACAAAGTTTTAGTCAGGGAGGAAGAAAAATTTCTGGAGATGGAAGGTGGTGATGGTTGCACAACAATGTGAATATATTTAATTCACAGAACTGTACACTTCAAATGGTTAAACTGGTAAATTATGCGTTACCACAATTTTTTAAATGGCCATGAAAAGACAATTCACAAAAGAAGAAATGCAAATAGGGAATAAATATTTTTTTTTTAATGTTCCAGCACACTAACTATTTAAGAACTGCAAATTAAAGCCACTGCAAAATGTCATTTTTGGCCTCTCCAATTAGCAGAGATATTCTGAAATGTGGATACTCAGGGCTGGTGAGGATGCTCTCATACGGCATGATGGGAAAATTAATTGGTACAACCTTTTATGAAAAGACCAGGGCACACTCCTTTTTTTTCTCCTCCTCCCTGACTGGGGTCCTGAGAGTCTCTCCTGTTATTTTCCTGCCCCGTTTCAGCTGAGACTCCAACCTAGAATTCCCCTGGCCCTGGCCCTCTAGATTCCCTCCTGCCACCTGCATCCAGCCATCTCAAACCACAACCCAGCTCTGGCCCCAAAGCCCCAAAGCAGAATCTAGGGGGCACACATCAAAACCACCCTCTCCACACAGGCACTGTGCCTACAGTTAGGGGTTGGGGTCCCTGAGGGTAGGGAATAGGGGGTGAAGGAGGGGAGTGTACAGGAATACGATTGTTCAAGAAGAAAAATGAAACAAACCACAGGCAAGCTTTTGTGGACAGGCTCTCTTGCACTCCATTCTTGCCAAATGCAATGCCCTGTCAGAAGAATGCAAGAAGGGATGTGGAAGGACACGAGTGTGTATCATCACCATGCATCACCATGTGGAAAGAAGGGAGAAGCCAGGAAAGGAGCCAGGGAGGCATCGAGAGCCCCAGGCACCAGGAGTCTTTAACAAGAAAGTACAAGGAGAAAGCGAAGCCTTTTGCCGTCCCTGCTCTGAATATGTATTATATATGCTGTGCAGGTGCCAGGCAGAAGAATTTTCTCTGGCAACCTTGGGCGGGGGGCGAGCATGGAACATCACTCTTGGGCCAAGGATGGGCCCCAGGCCGCTGCATGAGGAGCAGCCAGGAATCTGTTGATGGTGACCTGGTCCAGCGGTCACAACCCTGGGCTGAGCAGGAAGGTCGGACAGATGGATGGTTTTGAACGCAGAACAGGGGAGAAAGTGCACTGCCTGTGTGAGCCAGCAGGGGGCAGGAGTGGAGCCTTGACCGCAGCGAAGTCTGGCCCCAAAGCCCTCACTGTTCTCCACTCACGCAAAGCTGAGTCCTCTCAATGTGAATTATTTCCCAATTTGGGATCAGCATGAGAATGAGCCACAAAAACGTGGTGTCTGCAAGAAACGGCTTGGTGTTTCCTGCTCATTCCATCTGGCTGTCTGCCCCAGGAGAGTCGGGCTCCAGCCAGTCGAGAAGCAGGAGGTGCTGTTTCCTAGTTGGCCCAGCTGTTTTTTCTGGGCCAGCCATCCTCTCTGCCCCTCCCTTCCCAACCTCTACTATCCTCCAACTGACCCATGCTGCTTTCTTGCACTATCCCTGAAAAACCCTGGCTTTCACCTAGTCAATTGTTAACTTCAGACTCAGTAACCACCAGGGGAGAGGCCTGCCGTCACAAATTTAGGATTGCAGAGCAGGTGACACCTGTCCCGCTTTCCCCAGTGGGGGCACCTGGATCTTTGGGCAGAAATTACCACGGCTGCTAACAAAATGTCCTGTGGTCAAAGAAAGTGTCATTCAGTCCTCCTCTTAGGCCTTTGACACCTTCCCCTGGCCACGTCTTTTGTTTCTCAGTCCACAAGTCAATTGCCAAAAAAGGTTCACCTCCCTGAAACACTCCAACCCTTCCACCACCACTCCACCACCCCCCTTCTGTACAAATTCCTCAGCAAGACACTGATCTGATTAAAGAAGAAAAGGACTTGGCCCCAGAGGAAAAAGTCTGCTGAGCTGAGTGCAGGAATAGCCCTCAAATCAGAGAGGAGGGGCTCCTGCAAACAGGAACTTTCAAAGCTGTCCCCATCCCTGGGCCTGCGTAGGGGTCATGGTTTGGGGAATGCCAGGACCAGGGAGAGAGGGGATGCTGTGATGGGCGCTGAGGATGGAGAACCAAGCATTATGATGCAGTGTAAGAGAGAAATGTGAAACTCTTTATTTAGGTTCAAAAAGCCAATGCCCATGTTCAGCCCGGGGATGCCCTGGCTTGGCAGTTTTCATGTGACCTTCCAGTTACTATGAAAGTACAATATGATATGGCCACTATATTAAAAAAAGAAAGAAAGAAAGAAAGAAAGAAAGCTCATTTTTTAAGAACCCAGAATTCAGCCACAATAATGGACGTATCAAGTACAAGTCTCAGGAAGCAGTAATTTATGTTCTAAGCTGCTCAGACAACATTTAGAACATTGTGTTTCTTACTGTGCTCATGTTTTCGGGGACTGACTGATGACAAACTAGCAACTGTCCTAGAAAGAGGAGGAGGAAAGTGAGCTGATCTGGGAACTATGACACATAAGAAAAGGTGAAAGGAACTACCTGTGGACAAAGACGATTAAAGGAAGATGCAGAATAATCCAGTGCACGTGTCACACAGATGTCTAGAACCTGAAGACTAATGGGTCACAACACCACGGGATTTGAGAGTTGGAAAGAACTTCACGTGAAATCTGATCTACTCACATTTTATAGGTCAGAAAACTAAGGCCGGAGATTTTAAGTGTGTGACCTAGGCCACAAAGCTAGAGGTAGCACAACCAGAATTCAGTCCCTTGAGTTTTTCACTCCAGATCCTTTTCCTTATTACTCCAAGAGAACCATCTCGTAACATTCGAGGGAGCCGTGAGTAGCACAGGAAGTCGACGTGTGCCGCCCTTTGGTTCTTGAGCACAAGAATCAGTGGTGACATGTGACCGAGGAGGAGCTCTGTTCAGTTTCAGAGAAGGGTTTCCCAGTGACCCAATCTGGCCAGGCCTGGGAGCTGCCCTGTGAGGCGACAAGCCCCCCATTCCCAGGAGGCCTTCAGAAAGAGGAAGGGATTCTGCTGAGAGGTACAGGATTGGTCTCTACCAACCCTGACATTGTCTGATTCCCACAGAGAGGGCGTCCCCACCCACAATGTTGGGAGAAAGATGAAGCCACAATTAGAAGTCACAATCAGGTGCTAAGGGTGCTAAATGAGAAAGGCTCACTTAAGTGAGGACAGACTCCGAAGTCAGAACTGCACTCCAGTATCAGGGTTGTTCTCAGGCTCTGAGTCCTCAAGGAGGACTCAGCAAGGGTCATTATAGCTGACATTAAAGCAGGCAAGATTCTCGCTGGGCATGACGAAGATCTCATTGACCAGCAGGGTAATAAAACACCGAAACCAACTACAGCAGGAAGCTTACAGGCTCTGTCACTTTTCCCAAGGGCACACACAGCTTTCTGGCCTGCAGGCTCAGATGCTCAGGTCACCAGATGCTCCAGGTTGGGGGCTCGACCGGATGGCCTTCCAGGTCTCAGGTCTGGCATTCCTAGACCTGTCCAGGAATCTCCTTGGCCATACCAGTGTCCCCAGGATGGATGGGAAACCATCGGCCATGCTACAACCCCCAGGCTCTGCGGCATTTCTCCTCCAGTTTGCATTTTGGTGCTTCGTACAGCGACCGCTGCACATCTTCCTCCATCTTACTAACATTATCTTTGGCCACCAAACCCAACTGGCTCACTGGCTTCTCTCCAAGGTAGAAAGAGTTTCACTCCTGAGCCTCTTTCTCTGTCCAGTGAGATTCATTCATCGTGTGTACTGGAAAGTCCCTTTTAAGCCACAGTTAAAACTCTTTTTTCTCAGAGCCCAGATAAGCTGGGAAAAGAGAGAGCTGACTGTTTTGCAAGTTTCAGAGGTGAAAGTCACTGTCATAAAAAAAAAAAAAAAAATTGGCAAAAAGTCTAGGAATGATTCACGCTGAGAAGTCTGATTGGTTGATTGTAAATTCATTCATAGCCTAATAAATCATTTGCGAAGGGGGGACAGAGGAGGACCAAGAGACTCCAAAGAGGATAAGCGGGGTGGGATCCCTAGGGGGCTTATGCATTCTTGGCATCACTGGTGCTACTTGGTGGCTACAGTCTTCGTTGAAGCAGGATGTACACGGAGCTAAGTAAATGATAGAGTTTGGCTCCAGATTCAAAGAAACCTTGGCACAAGCCGACCACACAGTCCCAGGACAGCAAGCCCCCTTTCTCTCTCTCCCCCATTTCTAAGACGTCCAAGACAAACATCTCAATTAAGCAAAGGGGGTGGAGGCTGTTGCGAAAAATGAGGAGGGGAAGGGAGTCTGCAGCAGGACCAGGAAAATGGAAATTGCTACGTACAGGCAAAATGGTCCCATCACTGCCCACACCACCCCCTTCCTTCAGAGCCACTAACCTTTGCTAAGAAGGTGGCGTTCCTGATGGCGCCCACCATTTCTCCCCCCTTGGGGTGCACTTTGGCCACGTGCATCCACATGCGCTCCCAGGTGTGGCTGTCGATGGGGAAGCCGCTCTTGTTAACGTGAAACAGCACCCCGCCGTCTTTGTCCTCCTCCTCAGAGCCCCCGCTGGTAGCGAGGCTCACGGGCCGCGCGTGGCTGCTCCGGGACCGGGTGCCTTTGGCGCCTTTGGGGTGGGGGCAGCGGTGAGTGTCGGCCGCCGAGCCGGTCATGGTGGGGCAGGGGCGGGGAGGGCGGCGAGGGGCGTGTGCGCGCGGGCGCGGCGCGGGGATCAGCGCCCCGCGGGGGCGGCCTTCTCCATGCTTCTGGCTGCCGCAGGACGCGCGAAGGGGCAGCGGCGGCTGGAACTCCGCTTACGGGCCGTGCCTGAAATCAGTGAGACCCAGCACACACCACGGGTAAGTAGACACCCGGAGGAACCAAGGAGGGGGCCGTGGCCAAGACGAGGGTGTGGGGGCTTCGACGTGTCCCCACTTCCCTGTCCGCTCCCCCCGCGAGCGGACAGGACGCCCCCCCACCCACCAGGGAATTGCACACGAGCTTCCAGCCCTGCCATTACCTAGAAAGGCGACTTGAATTTTGCCACAAAGCTTCACACCCACCTAAACCGCGGAAGGGAAAGACAAGGAGCGTGGAGGCTGCGGAGTGGACGGGGTAGGGAGAAGACAGACAGCTCGTGCAGCGGGATGGAACAGGAGGTCCCCGCAAGGCTCCACACGTCCCTTGGTCGCCAGATGTGGCCGAGCACCGAGCCGAGCCAGAACGTGCCGGCACATGAGCGCCCGGGGCTGCCGCGAGAGCCCAGCGACAGCCTCGGCTTGCAAAAGCGGCCGCGTTTCTTCCAAGAAGCCCTCCCGAAGCTGGGCGGACGAGGGGCGGCCCCGGCCCCCAAGCTCCAGTGGCAGTGGCTCCACCCGCCCCTTTCCCTGAGTTCCAGCGCCAGGCACCCCGGGGAAATGGCTGCAGGCGGGGTGCGGGAAGGGCGCACCGCAGCTCCCGGACCCTACCTCTGGACGGTCGGCCTCATGGCTGCACGGCTTCTCCGGGCGGCGGGGGTGGCGGGAGCTGCTGGGGCCGCTGCGGCCGTCGCCTCATTCCATGTCCCATCCTCTAATGTTATTCTGTGACATATAAGCGAGTCACCCGGGCAGCCGCCGATGTTCCGACTGCGTCCATTGGCCACCGCAACAAAGAGGGGCGGGTCCCGGGCGCGGGACTCTACAACCCGGAGCTCCGCGACGCTCTGATTGGCTCCCGGGGTTCCCGGGCGGGAGGGGTGAAGAGTAGGGGGAGCTGGGCCGCAGCGCGAAATCCGATCGCTGTCTTGTCCTGCGAGCCCCGCGGGGCTGGAGCGTTTGTCCCTGGGACTTAAGACAGAGTTTCCCCAGGGGTCGCGGAACTGCGGGGGAAACAACTATGGGAAGCAGAGGAGAATTAAAGCTACCCAAGAAGTGACCCTGAGGTAGAGGAGGGCTTGTCATAGGACAGCATTCCCTGACGAAGGCTGGGCACACAGTCACCTGCCGCTACCAGGCAGTGATGGATGGTTCAGGCAGGCATGTAAACGTGACGGCACAATATTAAATCTTTTTTTTTTTTAATCCTACATTACAAATTCCCCCAAACTAAGAAGGGGACACAGCCATATATCCTCTGACATTAGTCATGATTAATAAAGTCCCTTTAAACCAAGCTGATATGCGACACTAAAGCCGGGGAGGTCAGCCAGGTCCCCACTGTTCTGTCGCAGCTACTGAGTTATGAGAGGGTGGAGAGATGCTTCAGAGCCACTGTGAAGTGGAGACCCTCCCACACTCTCCAGGGAAACCCCTTTTCCTTAAAGGCATCTTCTTTTTTTTTTTTTTTTCTTAAAAGAAGAGCAAGGTGAGGAGGAGCACCAGACTACTGACCTGAGGTCTGGCCCTAAGTCCAGGTTTATCACTTGGCAAAGCTGTGTGATCCAGGACAAGCCATTTGCCTGTTCTGGGCCGTAGCCACTTTATGAAAAGAGGAGAGCAGACCCTTCACTCTCCAAGGCCTGTTCTGGCTCTAAGATTCTGTGATCTTCTGACTTCCTCTTTTATGGACACTTGGGAACCTGGCCATAATATGCTTTCTCTTTAAACTCCAGGCCAGCCTGCCAGCTTTGAGGGGAGTGAAGCAGCTGTGACAGCAATGCTAAGTTAACCTCGAATTAAGAATACAGTCATCAGGGCTTCCCTGGTGGCGCAGTGGTTGAGAGTCCGCCTGCCGATGCAGGGGACACGG